ATTTTTTCTCAATCATTCACTTACATGTCATATACATTGTACATGTATAAGGGATATGGTTTAAAGACCTGTATTGAAGTAATACGCGTCTTGTCTTTATATGGACAAGTTCAAAGTTATAAAAAAAAAAACATATGCAAGCTGCAATAATTATGGTACCTGTAATAATTAAAGTTGGTATAGGCGTGCTTGTTCAAAATTTCGATTTTCTTTTCCGAACGAAATTTAAAGGAATATCATGTCCTGCAACAAATAAATTTGCTTGTTTATTTTTGCAGGCTTTTATACGTTTTGTGCATAAACTCGCAATCTGCAACCAAACTTTTATGCTTGATCCAATTTTGGCACGATCGCATCCGGACAAATCGACGGAAGTTGTCGCATTTCGCAGCTGCCATAACAATATGGAGCAACTGTGTTTATAGGCCGGTCGATAATTTGTTACGGCACGTGTCTGACTCATTAATACGCGCCATATTCATGTCGTAGCTGTGCACATGGATAAAACAAAGCAATACTCATTGCGACCACACCCAATAATGATAGACTGTGTAACATTAATGGCTTACACTAATCCGCATATATTTTTAAAGGTTTATAAGAAGAGCGATCACTGTTATTTATTGCTTTCATTCCCCACATTACTGGTTCCAAATGATAATAACTGAACTTCATTAGTTTAATTACATGCTTAGATTAATATCAATTATATGCCGAAAAATCGCAATTATGTTCATTCAATCTGTTGGTTATTTCAACCAATCTGTTTTTAGGGTGTATATATACGTCGGTGTCCCAAAGATTTGTTAATAAAGAAATCCTTATGATTAAAAAAATGAAAACGGAAAATTAATTATAATGCGACTTATGTTATCGTCAGTTATGATGAATCAGGGTTTGTAAACCATGTAAAGTGGCATGTAAACTACCAATGGTTAAATATACGGGGACATAAAACACACACAAACCTAATGGACTAAATGGGGCCATTTTGTAGTGTCATGGAATTGTCGTGTTTGCACCGCTATAGCTGGCTCGGATAGAAAACAGATAGGTTATTATTTTTTTCAGAGCCAACAAAACTTGAAGAATCACATAATTTGTCAAGTAGGTGTATCTTTCAAAGCCGATTTTCAATTTCATGTTATATACATGTGTGACTTAAAAATTTAAATATTAGGCCTACGCAAAATATTACACCATCATACACCACAGACATCATGGGCGTCGCCAAGATGGGGCAAGCCCCCCCCCCCTTCAAAAGCAAAAAAACAATAGATGTGAAGTCATATTTGCCATTAATTTAATACACATTTGACAAAATGGGCGTCTGCAGTGCAGGGGTGTCAATGGAGGTGGGGTGGGTAAATGTCCCCCGCCCACCCTCGAAAAAAATGATAAATTTAGAATATGCTAGAGAAAGTAAACCGTTAGGGGAAAATGCTTTGCCCCTCCCCCTCCCCCCCCCCCCCCCGCACCCCTAGAAAAATCCTGGCGACGCCCATGCAGACATCACATTACAGGTCGTCTGCATACTGGATGCAGTCAAGCACCGTGCATACATGACGGACTTACTACAATATAAACTGTTTACACCTGGTCAATTGATGTTTTCCACTAAATTTGCATATACAAATGAAGCCTGTCTCATTTGTCCATTACGATTGTATATTACGACTTACCAGTTTATAGCAGAGGTCCTTTGCTTCAACAAGACATGATTCCTTCGACAATGGCGATGATACGTAATGTGCCGTCTGCTTTCACTTCCCCGTGTGGCACATTTCAAAACACACCTGCGTAAACGGCCCGCATCATTGGTATGTCGCAACCAAAAAATGTTCATCCAAGTTGTTTAACGATAGAGCTGATCTTAGAACAATCCTATGGTTTGACGTGGTTGGGAGAGGATCTACTATACATGTAGTTGCACCTTCAAACACTCCCATTAAATAGTGTGGAGAGGCACGCTATCGATTCTATGATTCTAATAACATGACACACTGTGTGTACTTCGGTACGGCGATCCCGGTGGCCTTGCAAACAGGAAAAAAAAAATTAAATGGCTGTCTTCACGGTTGGTTTGTTACTGAGAATAATGCTGCGCTGGCCGCCAACCATTGTGTTTTCGGAGGCATTATAAGTATGGCAGGGTTCACTACTATACAGCCTGTATGAGATATTTATGCAAGATATGTCAGGCGTGAGGCAGTTGAAAGCGTGACGTGCTACAGGCAAGGGCTGATGGGCTGGCGTACTATAATCACAAAAAAAGTTTTTGCCTTGAAATCTTTGTGCGAATTTAATTTGTTGTCAATCCCAAGCTTACATCGCGGCCAGCCATTCAGCGCCCGAGGTTCCCATGATAGAACACTCGAGGCAAGTTCAATGTACCAAAATGAACGCAGGCAATCAAGTTGAACCAAAAACTAAGATAATTGACAATATTTTAAGTGGAATACGTTGATAAGTAGATATAATAGGGTGCGCCACTGAAATGGTGTCCATCGATAAATTAACCACAATGATAGCCAGCGGAAATCAATATGTTTTAAACCTTAAACATAATGGATTTCATAATACTATATGAGTACGGATTGTAGCTCCTATCATAAAAGGCTATTAATGCGAAAGAAAAGTGGCGGCTGTATCGTTTTATATAGCGCCCCCTATTGACATGGCGTCTGACATAATGCCGTATCCAAGGATACCAAAATAATGTCCAAATACATTCAGACAAGAATTGTACCGGTCACTTGATAAATTTGGCAGCGATTACTATTGTTCTGCTGACATAACACATTGATATTTATACGTTGGGAAACCCTTAAGTGTTCGTTCATCATCTATTGTTGTAAACAGTGTGCATTATCTTGTATGGGCTGCCGCAAGCGCATAAATTGAAGCCGTGGTTGGCGACATATTTTTCCAAAACAGTCCTCATAACACCCTCATTATAGAAAAAGGCATAGCGTTTGTTGAAAATAATATTTTCGAAATCATTACTACTGTTCTTCATTTTTGCAGTGTTGGACCTTCCATATATAGTTTAGCAACCCGTGGTTGGCAAAATGTGCCAACCACGCGTCGGCGATAGAATGGTACGGTCTATGGGTTAATAAAGCCATTGTAGGGCCTAATTTGATCCAAATTTCACAGAAATACGAGCTCGCAGAATCTTTTTTTTTTTTTAAAGAAATGTGTGCTCATTAGAATAAGAGCACGGTGGCACTAAAACATTACACGGATCTGTCTTCAAAATAGGGAGGTCCGTCTAATATGAACGTTTTGGGCACCTTGCCGTTACAATCGTTAACACGTTTGCGGCGATGTTCTTGCGAACGTAATATGCATGTTACTGAGCGTAGAGATGTTACTGATATTTGTTGCGTGTCTACAAATACTGCTGCATCATGTAAGCCACTTTCATCACACTTCACACTCAAGGGCGGATCCAGAACACAATTTTTGGGGGGGCCAAAAAATTTTTTGGGCCCCCCAAAAAATAAATTACGGCGTGGGGTTCGGGGCCCGCTTAAGGGCCCCGAAAAATTTTTGGATTCTAGATGCTCTGTGGTGCGATCTGAGGCAATTTCTGACCACTTTACCCAATGTTTTTTTGAGGAAAAGATGGTAGTGTACTCATTGCCTGCCTTTATTGCGATGTAACATAAAAAAAAAAAATTGGTTTCGTTTTTTTTGGGGGGGGGGCCATGGCCCCCTTTGGCCCCCCCCCCCCCCTGGATCCGCCCTTGTTCACACTCGACTCCTATGATTTCACCACGGACAAAGAAAACTGGGAGGAAAGTACATGTAATCGTGAGGTTGAGAGTAGACGCACTTTTCCTTTGACTTGCCGCAAGGCTTATAATCATGACGTCAATACATTATACTCCATTCATTGTAATCCCTCAGCTTTCCCCTGTATGAGGTCCGTATCAACGTTCACCATCGGTATTTGATGAGCTTATTATAGCGCCAACCGAACGGTCTGGTTTCTTTACTTAGGGTCAACTTTTCCTTTTCAGTGACTCGATGTTTGCCATCACTTTTTTTTTTAAAACTTTCACCTTTTATTGGCAAAGTAAAGGTCCCTATAAAAATTTCCAAAGCTATGTAGCCTATATTTTCTCCTTTATATTGCAACGTGATGATATTCTTTTCGACTGGAAAGTTAAAAAACAAAAACAAAGACACTTGAGTCTCACCACCGGTACGGTAAATTGGCTGGTATTTCCAGTCCACATGGTACTTTTTTTTTCAGGCAAGCCTCATCCTTCACAATTTCTTAGACTGTGCAAAGTTGTTCAGTCACCTGTATTCTTTCATAATAATAACAGTAATGACGTTTTTTTTTTAAGAGCTATTTTCACAGACATTAAAGCGCTTTACATTTACCCCCTGCTTATTTGGCCCATTAAACATTTCTTATACCCGTAGTGTGCGACTCAATTCTATCATTTTCAGACGCAAATGGCTGATTCAAACACAATAACAATGTCGTTACTCCTGGGTGGGGCGAAGTAATTGCTGACCGTAAAGTGTCTTGCCCAAGGACTCACGGACTGTACTCCACAGGCTGGACTCGAACCTTTAACTTGCCGGTTTTACCATCAAGATCTTGAGTTCGGTGCAACAGTTCACGAGGCTACATCACTCGACTTTTCTTTGTAACAAAAACAAATTTTAAAGAATTGTCAGCTTAATAATTCGAACTATGACTTGCAAAACATCTGAGCTACGGTACCATGAACAAATGACGCACACAACTGATGAAACCAATTTTCAAACTTCAAGTGTCAGTGTGTGAATCACCATGTTGTACTTCACTGATGACACCGAGCTGACGGCTGTTCTGTTTTTGTCAATCGACCGGCAATACCTTTATGTTGTCGTCATAACAAAAACAATAGTTGCATTAAATATCTGGAATTGTCTGAGTTGATATGATGAGCTGAAATGGAGACAAAAGCAAAATTTCACTAATTTTCCCCGATATATTGTATATCATCTTCACATTTATTATACAGTTTTTGCTAACGGCAATTCTTCTTTTAATTTCGAAGATATTCCTTTCATTAAACGTAGATGAGTCAGTAATGACCATGCAGAGCTATCGCATTCCGACCAACATATGCGAACCGAAACAGCCGCAGGAGAAAAGGTATACCAAAGCTTCATGGAACCACGGAGCTATAAAACACACCACCGTACGCCACCACAGTGTGTTTTGCTGATGTCGTAAGTACATGCTGTGCAAGGCCGCCAAACAACTGAAACTTTTTTTGTTAGGTGCTTAGTGGCCCGTACATTTCCTGTATTGATCAAAAAGTGGGAGAGAGTCTATAGAAAAGGTCCCTGCATAACAATGGCGCCATGATCCGGACCGCAAATACAATGCCTCGGTACCAACCAGAACCAGACTACGGTATCGGGCACGGTATCTACCTACCTGTACAATAACAGGTGCGCCATGACAGGGTGAAGGTTGTCTCATAGCGGGTACAGTACAGTACCAAGACTTGCGGAAATTTGTCTAAAGTTTTCATGAACAAGTCGTCGAATAAATCACAATATTGATTACAAAATGGCGTCAAAGGCTCTTCTGAGACGGAAGAAAGAGGAGAAGAAGATCTCCAGGAAATTGGTGGTGCCCAAGGAGCAAGAGCAGATGGAGAAATGCCCAGTGTTCAAGGTGCACTACCTGGGAAAGATTCCGGCCCGCGGAGAGTATGGGAGGGATTACATCGATGAACCGGTAGAGACTCTGCTCAAGTTGAAGGATAGACACTCCAAGCTGCCCAAGACGGTCTTACAAATCACCGAGAAGGGCTTCCACTTCTTAGACGTCAACGGTCCGTTCGGGAAGGAAAAACACGTACTGATACCCATCCACCATGTTTGCTACGGTGTGGCCGATGAGCAGAACCCACAGGTCTTTGCCATGATCACCCGGACGGACTCCAACCCGGAAAACAGCCTCTTAGAATGCCACGCCTTCCTCTGCGATCGTCGGAAAGTGGCGGCCCAGATAACCTACTGGCTGCTCAGGACCTTCCTCCATGTCTTCGAAGATCTGCAGAGGAGGAGACGGGAGAGGCAGGAGAGGAAACTGCGTCGACAGGCAGATGCCATGGACAACGCCGCCAGTACCTCCCGTCAGATAGGCGGATTGCAGGACATCCCTCCTGTCTCACCAACAGAGACGATAGCCCCGGACATTTACAGCATCACACTCGAAGGGTCCAAGGAAAACGGAGGTGTAAAGGCGGTGGGCCTGCTTAGAAACAAACCTTCGAGCATCGGGAAAAAGGTGGGGCCCCGGGGCGACGACCCGACCGGCAGTCCACGGACAGGCGGTGGGAAGAAATTCGCCACTGTTCCCGCCATGAGAATCGGCACGAACGACGACCCATCCGGAGGTGGGGCACGCTGGCGGCAACCCGTACACCAAATGCACAATTCGCACGAATCGCTCAATTATCATCCACCTTTAAAGGTGAGCGTGTCTGCCGGTCCACCTGTCGCCCCGCGCCGGTCTCAAAACGGAGACACAAACTCATCTCGTCCCCACTCTTTCAACGATGGCAGGCCAAACAATTCCCATCAGAATGACCCGCGAGCTGTACCCCAACCACTGGTAGTGCAACCCTTGGAAGTCAACGGTCTCTCGAACCCAAATGCTCCTCTTCATCACCAGCGGCAAGAGAGAGCACGGTTCATGAAAAACCCAATGGCCACCCGAGCCTCACCGGCAAAAATACCTGTCAATCGCCCCGGGAATCGCCTTTTATCCTCCACTGGAACATCGCCATCCTCCTCCGCGGGCAGCACCGGTCGCAGGAGCTTAATAAGCAAAGAGGAGACGGACTTCATCTTCATACAGATGCTGCAGGAGGAATTCTCCGTACTTGACGGAGGAAGCAGCGATTCCAACTCTACCATCCGGCGCGTCACCGGTCCCTATTCTTCCACAGATCGCCAACGGCCGCCCGGTGCTGACCCCGGTTCGAACTCGGTGGCTGCCCCGCCTCTGGATCAGAAACTTAGCAGCCAGGACATCGAGAAGAGGATTCGAGAATGGCTGAAAAGGACCTCGCCTGATGCTGAGAACATCTCTTTTGACGATTCTGGTCTGGACCGGATTTCCCTGGCGGGAACACTTGCGAATCACAACTCGAATCGCACTGCTGCCGACACATCGCGATTCGTGCCCAGCACACGACCGGCGCTTTCTCAAATCGACCGCAAGGGTGCCGGTGGAACTTTCAACCACATGCCGTCAGATAGAGAGTATTTCTAGTTAAAAACCAATTGATCTCCTTCCACACAGAATTTGAATTTTATAATAAAAAAAACCACAATGTAAATGTGCCAATTTAAAAAACACTGCATGTGAACTTTCTTTTTAACTACGGTGTATTCACAGAAGTATTACTTCACTTGAGAAAGGAGGCCCCTTCACGACTTTTTAATTTGTGATTTAACTTTGTAAAAATCACTTTTTCTCTGTGCTCAAACTGGATTTTAAAAAAGGGGATGAGTGGTGACTAAGGCATCACTTAGACATTTGAGTCGGGGGTTAGTCATGTCAACCTGATTTCTTTCACCCATGGGCCCTTCCATTGTCCAAAACCACACAAATAAATCACAAGCATAATGAAGGGGCAGTCCGTACCGTTTCTTAAAACCGAATCACTGTTAATTGTTTCAATGGATTGATGTTCTTCAACGCACGATCTTATTCTGATATCAGGGGAGACCGCATGGGTAAAACTCTACATTTAAAGTCCTTCTTTGGCATGTCCTTGTTGCATACCTTTTATTAAAAGATAATAATAAAAATAGCCCTTGAATGTGCATCACACGTTGGGGCTTAGGGACAGAAATCTGAGAATTCTTTCAAATTACCGTGATGATTTCCCTGGAGAGGGATGTGGGGCCTGACAATCATGCATGTCATATTTTATCAATCTATCGAGATAGTATTTTACAGAGGTTTCAATTTAACCGAGCATCTTCGTGCAAAATGATCATGCCTTGCAGGCCTATTCTAATATATGGCAAACTGACACGTCCACTTTAACTGTCATTTCTCATTACTTGAGTCAATAAGACTCGGGGTTCCAGAAGATGTGGCTGTTTTTATTGAACCCTTCTGCTCCACCTACGCCTGTCATCTGACATCCAAAATGTGTCAGGTTTGCTATAACATGAGATATTACATCTTTAGACATGCACCTGTTTTTAACGCATCAATAAATGTTATATTATTTTCATAGTATTTGAAAGTATTTCTGCCTTACATGTAGTTACTGTATTTTTATATTGGAAAATGTACAAAGATATTTTTGGCAGAAAATTTGTTCGTTGAACAAATTGTCTTCCAGTCGTGTTGTTTGGAAGGGTAGACACGATTTTATGCAATAAAAGGTCATGTACAATAGTCCTACATCACATGAATCGTCATAATATAAACTGGCATTTTGAATGAGAAAAACAAACTGTTGAAGACAAAAAAACCTCCATTTTAGTGGTCCTCAAACACTTTGATGAAAATCGGAAATCACAATTTGTTTTCTTTGAGTTTCAGACCTTTAAATGACAAGCAATATACATGTAGTGTGTAAATTTCAGACATTTGTCTTTGGAAAAGAGATTTCAGCCTTGGGGGGGGGGGGGGGTTCATATGAGACTTGAAAGGAAATACATAAATTCAGCCCATTCACTATAATGATTGATGCATTGAAATGGCTCCACGTCAATCATAACATATCATTTAGAACTCAAGTGTCTGGTTTTATTCCTCCCGTTCATTGATACGGATTGAAGCATTGGAATATTCGTCCAAGTCAACCATTGCTCATTATTTGTTATCCAATATCTTCATATTCCCATCAATTTCCCTCTTTTTAAAAACAATTACATGTATGCAGCCAACTTGAGTGTTGACAAAAATTATCTTTAAACGACTATGAAAGTGATTAAGTTAATTATGCAAACGGCCGTAAATAGTCCCCAAAATTACAAATCTCAATTCCCTGTTAAAGAAGTGAAAATCAATTCATTTGAACCTGTCTTGAAGACATAGGGCTTAGGGCAACATAAATATTGCCCTGTTTAGCCGCCGTGCGAGAACGACAACAACAACGGTGAAATTACCGCCCACGAAATCCTGTAATATCAGCCGAAACGTTAGACAACTTTCCGTAACTGTGATCGTTTTGATAATAAAGGCCCTGGTCCCGAGAGAGCAGCATGCCGCGGGGATAATGGTTTACCGTACGGATCGGTTGAACGCGCCCTCAGCGGGATGCGAGTGGCGCGGTGCGACTGAAGAAAATGAGCCAAGTTTACATTTCATAATGGGAGAAGTCGAGGATGGTTATTTGATGCCAAGGACCGGACCAAGTACAGCAGTTTATGATTCGCGGTGAGAAGAATAAAATATGACAAGTGACATAAAACAGGACAATATGATGCAAACATGTACATGTATTAATTTGAACCTCAAGGGGGCAGACAAATAAATATCTGTAGACTCCTGTGCGAGCTCATTAATATTTTTTGATCCCACGGGTAATTTTGAATAAGAGGTCCTTGCGGCCTATACTTGGGACAGATCGTAAAGAATATTTGTGGAGATTAAGCGTTTGTGACTTGTGGCTTCCAACTCGGGGGATTTCCTCCCCCCCCCAAAAAAAAAACCAAACCCGAGGTCTATTTCGTATGGAGGCGGAGGCTACAAATATACCTGGGCCCAGAGATTGGCAAGCATTTGAGGGGTGGTTTGGAGGGAGGGGAATATAAAACAAAATGTTGTGGCTATCTCTGGTTAAAAAAAAAAAAAAAATTGTCCGAGAGGTCGTAATCTTAAATTTCCAGTGAAAAACACATTGCCGCCTTGCTCCTGAGCGTCACTAGAGGGCGTTTTTTTCTGTCCGATTTCGTGTTGTTTTCTGTGAGCGCCTATTTGTTGGAGTGGAACCTCAAGCTATTCCTTCTTTAAACATATACAAGTCCCGCCCTGAGCGTCTTGGTACCAAACACTGATTCCCGTGTTAGAATTTACCAATTAGGCCTATTATCTATACGTGAGCGATTCAACAGAAGAAGAATGTGACACATTGTGTCATATTGCAAGTTTCTGGGAAATTTCCCTATCTTAAAAGAAAAGTTTACGATTTTCTTGCCTGGTGATTTGGCTTTAATACGGTGCATCTGGTTGCGTGTAAGCTGCGTAAAATGTCGTGTCACTCCGCCTTTAATTATCCCCAATCAGATCAGAGGTTGTTTATTGTTGTTGTTGTTGTTGTGTTGTTGTTGTTGTTATTTTCTTGTTTTTTTTATAACATTAAATGGGAACGGGAACGTCCTGGGAAGCACCCAGTTGACTATAAAACGCGAAACAACTGTATTTTCCCCCATCTTCGGGAACGGTATTATTAGGTTAGTTTCCTTCCAACCAACCCTTAGAAATAAGATAGGTAACTGATCGCGATCTAAAGATATCATTTTTAGGCGAACTTAGGACGATGTGTCCCTCAGAGGCGACTCGAAGAAAGATTTCAATGTGAAATACAGATGATCTTAGGGCATGCCTGAAATAAATCCTTTTACTGATCAATCATCAGTCGATACAGATATTGAGGTTGGGTTCCACTACCCGGGACATTGTCACTTATAGTTTGATCGAAAAATGTTCGAGTTTACGTGGTGACATGGACATGAAGCATACATTATGACATGAAGTGGTTTTGTGTTTGCAATGCTATCGATCTCTTTCTAAAATTGTGGAGTTCCCGTAAATATTATGTGTTGAGCTGTGCCTGTCCAGGCGCGGATCCAGAGGGGGGGGGGGGGGGTGTCCCAAACAAACCCAGCTCTGTCAATTGTTTAAGTTCCATATAAATTCAGTAAAAAAAATGCGACCCCCCCCCCCGCTCCAATACCCAACAGTTTTGTGCTAGTCATGCTTGCCTTGCAAAAAATACGTAGAAAGACAGCTTCTTTAAGGGGGTGTATGTACATTATTATGTGATTTAGTGTTAATAATCGTCGGATTTGAACAACGCCCCCATTGAAAGTATGGTACGAGCCCCCCTACATTTCAGATTTGTTATGTCGATGACCCCCCCCCCCCTGCGAAAATTCCTGGATCCGCCCCTGCTGTCCATATGCCTTTCTTTTCCAAAGTGTAAGTCAGGACATTAATCGTGTATCCGAAACTTAAATGTTTGCCTTGCATATTTTATTCACACTTTCTGTTAGCACTGTTTATTTAACTCCCGCTTTGTAAATACAAGTTGACTGACAAAACACACTGCACTCCTAATTTCAAGGTTCGATGCTCCATTCATCTTTCATGTTAAAATAACTCCCTAACACTGACATCTGCAGTGATCATCACGAGTGACATAAGCCAAACTGAACCAGCTCCGAATTTTTAATGTACTAGCTGTCATAGCGCCCTCTGTTGACTTTCTCGGTTCAACAGCAAAATTGTTCCCAGATGATAATAAAAATGCTCAAGAAATATGAAGTTTGTTTAGTTATTTGACAATTATATAATATTGAATGAATGGTAAATATTGGATGCAAGGGTTGAAAACAGGAGCAGAATATTATCTTCCACAACCCCCCCCCCCCCATAAGGCAAAATGTCATATTTTGAACACAAATTTAGGGATCATTTTTTAATTATGTACGTGAATTCTTAGACACGCACCTCAAATGCGCTACATGTTTACATCAGGAAGGCTCGAGTACGTCATTGAGTTCGTTATAAGATTTCAGTAGTGTCTGATTTTGAGTGCACAAGTGTTGCAATTTATATTTTATTTAAACTTTCTGTGAGCACTTTCCCTGACACTATCAATGTGGACCAACACACTTCAATATTGACATGCCTTTCACACTTACTGCATAGGTCGAGCAATGGCATTCTCCGAATGCCTAAGTCAAATACATGTACAGTATACGTAGTATAGTATTTCAACAAACGTAGACAATATCAAATACCAGTGCTATAAATCCTGACGGCATACAGACACATTTCTTACCTTTCAGGTTGATGTCAGAAGCCTTCGTCATGACCATGATGACCGTGGTTTCAGGCATGCTATATTCCAAGGCTTGTTAGTTGCAAATAAATCAAATCGAGTTAGCATGGCCTAGTTTCATTTGCCCATCTTCTTTGGTCCTGCACGCACGCAAAACAAGACAAAATTCCCCGCTATGGAGGCCGAGTTTTCGGGACAACATTGTATCTCCGCTACACCGTGGAAACGCAGATGTTCTGACAACGGTATCTTTTGCACTCGGCACGAACAGACATTCCTAGAATGATCTTAAACTGTTTGTCAGTACTTCTAAGGAGTTGAGTCAGTGATGCGCAAATTTTCAACATTTGTAAAGCCGCCATTACGGTTGGTATTTGTGTGGTGCATTACCTTGCAACACTTGATAGTTGGTTACCAATGAATATTTGTCTGAAAGAAGACATTGAACTTATCTCATTGCTTTCTCATCTGTAAAAAGCCAAAACATGTACATGTACATGTATGTATAAAATTGCCAGGTGTGAAGTTCTTTTGTTATGCTAACGTCGAGGCGATTGTTGAACTTTTTGAAGTGCTTTTTGACACTGTTATGGAGCTTCGCCGAGTTAGGCAAATGGGCGTTGGTCTGCTATGGGTCCTATGACGTACGTTTCACGGAATTGTGAAGACCACAATGCCTGCTGGCGTAATTTCCTTGCTTTTGAAATAAAGAAATTTGAGTTGAAATGGTGCATTAAAATGAAGTTGTATACACTCGTCAATAATATGAACTGAATGTTTCGCGTGTGATAACAGGGGCGGATCTTGCTTTCAGGAAACGAGGGGGTATGAAGAGCGAATTGAGTTAAGGCGTCCAGAATGCACGCAGACCCTAGGGCTCCGGAAATTTTGAAATCTACGATGATTTCTCCTGCATTCGAAGGCAATTTGAGAATAAATGTAAGAAATATAACATTCCATTTACTATTTTTGGCCCCATTTCACTACAGCATCTTACCATACGTCAGCGGCTGAGCGGGTGGGTGGGTGGGGTGGGGGGGGGGGAGTTGCAACTCACCCCCTCTCCTCTAGATCCGTTAAAGGTGTTAGACACTCGTCATAGTAAACAATTTGAACAAATTCGTGCGATTGTGATAATGGGGATTCTCAATCGCCAAGCCCTAATGAAACGATCGGTTCCTAACCACAGAAAAACAAACCGACACAAACATTTGCAATCATAAGAATTCTTTCTATAATTTGAAGACTGTTTTCGTGTTCAAGTTTACGTTTTCATATGAAAAAAAAACCGCGTGCCTGGGTGTCTTAAGTGAGTCATCCGGTTAAAATATTAATGTGTGCTTCTGGATTACTGACAGCAATCTTCCTCCACGGCTATAAGCTCGTGATCGGAATCCTATGCATGGTTAATCAAAAGTGTGTTTGATTAAAGGGGTCACCTGCACTGTTGCCATACCCAACAGACTGCACAAGCATATCATTTATTTTTTGTAAAGGCTCCATTAAAACAAGTGAACAAAATGAAGTTTACAAAAAGTATGAAGTTAACATTGCTAAAAGACAATTGCACCATACGTCTAAAATACATTGTCTACATAATGCGTTGCACCATACTCCGTAGCATTATTAACCTTTAAAAAAATGGCGATTGTTGCCGAAGTAAATAAAAACGGGTAAAGAATTCAAACTGTTGTATTGGGTTAAACAAAAACAAGTACTGGCCAACTTTCTCATTCATGCTTCATATTATCAATAGTTAACCATTAAAAAGCCAGACTATACTTTTATTACTTTGGAATAATATATTTCGATGAACAAGTTATTCACAGTAAAAAGACGCTTGCGAAACTCTCCATGGATATGAGGTTTTTAAAGGACGTTTCTCAGTCATCTCATTTTATATAAAATAAGAGAGCAAGCAAAGGGGTGAACTATAAAAAGCACTCAGAGAGCGCAGACCTCGCCGACGCTGAACAATTCCCCACCATATTGTCAGTACACCCAAAAGAAATATTCGCATAAATGGTGAAGAATCCTTAAAAACAAAATCCTGGATCCAGACTCATATCCGGATCACCTCCAAAATCGTATCGATTTTGTACTTGTACCAAGGACCAACCCTAAACTTGTTTTCATGCAAATCCGTCCATAACTTTTTGAGTTATGATGAAAACATAACCTCTTCGGCGGAGGTAATACACGTAATTGGACATTTTAGGGGATGTCTCAAAATTTAAAAATTCTGATATTAGAATAAAAAAACACGAATTATGAGAACGTCAAAACATCAAAGATGGTGACAGGCTTCACCGTGAAAAAATTGGTTTTGTTTTGAAATTGCTGTTTTTCTTGCAATACAAAAGTTATTCACGTTTTGAATGAGAAATCAAACCAAAACTCGGCCAACGTTTTAGTTATGGAATACATGTACATGTAACAACTTTAGACATTCAGTTTTCGCAGGGTGTTCATAAAAAGTTTTCGCAAAAAGCAACCCAAACAACATCTCTTGTTCGGACGGCTGCAGACGTCCAAAATATAGAGATAAAAATCAACAAAAGTGTTTGTCTGTCGTTAGAAAAACACAATTTTTTTTTAAAGAGCATTGTCAGTAGGCCTTTACATCTTTAAAGATTAAATTCGTTATAGTAGGTAATTCGATTTCCCAGGAACCAAGACAAGACAAAACAATTATGACATTAATTGTTACTATCCCGGAATTCACACAACCTTTCCCTTTAACTCAACAAACTCTACACGACTACGGGACCCATAGGAATTATAATCTATTTGATATGGAATGGGAACGGATGTTTGCGCATTATAAATGCATGAGTTTTCTGGGAAAGCTTTATGACAGAGTAAGCAGCCATGGCCGCTATAGTTCAATGTTGAACGTCACACTCTTGCTATACACCGGTATCACATTCTCCTGTACATGAAAGAATTCCCGTATTTCACAAGCCGTCGACTGTGACCCAAATGTTTTTCATTCCGAAGCTTAACTTGGTTAAAATTGGATAATTTGTCAACGCTACAAATACCTATACCAAGAAACGATTTTGAAGCTGTCGTCGGCAATGTTATTAGTACACGGTATTAAACATGAAAAGAACCAACAGGACATCGTCATTGCGGCATATTCAAAATGTAATTATTGCTAATGTTGGTATTTCGCACAGTGCTTATTGAAAACAACTTAAATACAGGTTATTACGAAGCGTGACGCCATGAATATTCGACATGTGGTTGATTCAACTTCATTTGGCTATAAGCCCATATTCAAGTCGAGAATATTTCTACGCCTAGCTATATAAACCTACATTGCGAACGGTACATGTACAGTACATTTTTAAATAATTTTTCAGTCATATATACCTAAATATTACATATTACATTTAAAATATAGCACCTACTCCAACCAACAGTTTACAAAGAAACCCACGGCGCTATTAACCTACTTTGCAATAGAATTATACGTATATTCAAGAATACATGTACATATGTTATACATTAACCTTATTTATATAACTTTAAAAAAGAAAGAAACATGGTGGAACTCAGGCATGAAATAAATGTTACGGCTGATGAGATGTTTAAGGTATTCATTTTGCCATTACACGCCTCATGCGTCAACCAAAAGGAAGTACAATCGCCATGACGTCAGGACACTATAGAAAAAAAAAATTCTTCTTCAAATAAGTCCTGATTTCAGCGACTGGAAATTGTTCAATAAATTTCAAGGCAAATTTGAGTGATAGTTTTGCTTCCGATTAAAGAGGTCTCACATCAAGAAATTGCAAATGCTAACTTAATGTAAAGGGTAGGCCCCCTATAGCTGCCCTTAAACGAACACACAGCAGGGGTGGTTTGTAATATTTTTGAGGAGGATATCCGGCCATAAGCATAATGTTTTAGTTTTTCAATGGAGAAATATACAAAATCCGGATTCGAAGCTTTTTATGAAGTCACTGTGACATTTTAATATTCATGCATTGGACCTTATGCGTAATGCGTTGGACTATGTCAGATAGTATTCTTTGATATTTTAATCTAGTAACAATGAATGCACAAACAGGTTTACCCATGGGCGTCCACTGGCTCCGACTTCCACAAGGTCTATGTAAGGAGCAAGGCTTCACAAGGTGGACAACTCAACGTATCGGTCAGTACTCTACCCGTCGTCGGGAGATACTCATGCGGGTATTCTTTGAAAGCTTGGAAATGACCTTGAGGGAACTATTTTATAAGTTCAGAAAAGGGGTATAAAGCTTAATGTGTCAATTAACCACTCCATGATGTCTGTGAGGCCCAGTTCTCGGTCACAAGTGATGGCTTGTCGGCCGGCACTAGGCGTCGCTAGCCGCTTGTTCCCCGGCCTGCCCGTTCCCTTCCAATTCGACCTTCTCCTGGTGAAACACGCCTTGTGTGTCCACTGTGGATCGGAAGAAGATACGCCTGGAGAAAAACATCGAACGAAGAGAACAAACACAACTCGTAATATGTTTAATAATTGATTGGATTGGATTAAGATTTGGTATGATTTGATTCGGCATAGTTTCAGCATGCTTTGATTTTGTTTCACAGCCGATGAGGGGTGTAGTCTCATTCCATAGCATGTTTTACAATAAGGGAGTGGTTATATAGCTAAAACCCTTCTCGTCTATACTAGTGCCTCGACCATTTCATACAAACAAAGAAAAACGGGCCGAAAAAGGGGGAAACTCTGTTTCCTTTTGAAATCAAGATGCGACAATATATGCTGTCTGTGGTGTCTCGCATTATTTTCGTGTTATTTGTTAAAGAACTATGAGGAAAAAAAGAACAAAAAGATGAGTAGTGATCGACTCTGAAGGACAGACGAGTTGTAATTTGAAGCAACATACCACAAACTCAATTTTTGATTTTGGCAAATCCCAGTCCCAGAGTGAGGCAATTAAGACTGGTGCCCGTAATGCATGATGGGGCTATGGGGGCTAATGATCGATTGATTCGGATTCAAGGTGCCCAATCTTCAAAAGGAAATTGATAAGAATATATTACTTGACACTTTCATGGCTATTTTCCACACAGGTGTATTGTACTGGCTTGGCATACAACTTTCCTGGAAGGTCGAAAAATAACACCTGATATTCTATTCAACGATGTTAGATCCGTTTTCAATTCAACTCTGTTCATCCCCTTACAGTGAGTTATACAATACACACAAAATACATACAAATTGACTATACATGTAGTGCCACTTCCAACCTTGGGTTTTCGCAAACCAATCACTATCTTTTCATGTGTCCTGTGAAGCATCACTTTAGCGAAAACAAATTTTTCTGAGGACAGGATTTAAGCTATATACATGTACATGTATTTTGATCAATCGTACGGCTTTGAATGGCTTACGTAGAACCAAGAGCAAGGGTAGAACTATGGGGTAGACAGTGTTCAATTTTATGACTCTCACGACACAAACGTGTCGTATGTATTCGCCCTGGCTTACGTTTGTCCTTGTGCATCATTATTTTGTTCTTATGCAGTATTTACTTGTGCATCATTTCAAACATTAATGTTACACACATTCTAAACCAAGGGCGAATTCTGAACCAAGGTTGTTTTTTTGGGGGAGGGGATCCGGGGCTGTGAAAAGCTTATTAAAAGCTATTCCTTCTATTAATAATACATTACACAATAATACATTAATAATACACAATGTACATGTATTCTACGAATCCGTAGACGGAAGGGGGATGAGTAGCATCGATTAAAATAATATTTAATATTGACACCTGTTGGAGGGGTTGGAGGCCCCCCCCCCCCCGACACGTCGGGGATCTATACTAAAAAAAATAGCTTAGGTGATGCCAAACTACGGTGTTTTCTTAACACAGCTATTTAGAGAGTAATATAAACATCTTCAACATAATGTTTAGGTTTGTTAGACATCCCAAAAAAATATGATTAAGTGTTTTTTTCTTCTTTTGATTTGTTTTAAAGATTGTTTCAATATTTTCTTCTTGATCTACCACTGATGACATTGAGTGCTGTGGCCTCGTGGTCTGGAGCATGGCATTTGTGGTCTGCGTATAATTCTGCAGGATGTAGGTTCGAGTCCAGCCTGGGGTTATGGTGCGTGTGCCCTTTGGCAAGGCACTTTGTCAGTCATTGCTGCTCCGCTTGTGATTGATCTTTGCTGCTTTGCGCCAAAATGACAGCATCGAGCTGTATGTTCCCAAGGGAGCTGAGATGGTATTTGGAATATTTTATTGGCCCAATGACTATGGTAATAATGATGTAGCGCCATGCAGTAAGCACCAATATCGATGGATACGTGTGCTTTATAAATACACATTATTATTATCTATTATTATTAGTTTAAACTCGGTAAGTGTGATTTTACAGAGAATAAAATTATCATTGAATAAAGATATTAAAATTGTGACACCGAAGCCTACAAAAAGAATTGGCCGATTATTAAATCAAAATAAAGGTGCACCATTGTTATGGTGATAATGGTGATTGTGCTGATGATAGGGATGATGATGTGATTATGATAAAGGTAACGACGATGATTTCGGGATAATGGTGATAATGAGCGTGGTATTATTGTTGATTTATGGCAATGGCCATGACAGTGAAAAGATTTAAACCCTCATGCACATAACTTGACTAAACCAATAATGCGTCATACATGCACACCGTTCTGGAAAAAGATAAGTCTCTAATGAAAATATGCTTTTTTCGATATTTGCTGAGGGTACTGAAGTAAAATATTATCATCATAATTACCATAAGGATATATTGACGAAGTTATTCTACTTTCTGATTATGAAATACATACCTTGCTAACGTCGGGTGTTCTGTGACCATCAACTTCTTCAGCATATCAGAGTCCATCTCCATAAACTCCTGAAGATCCCCGATGCGTTTATGCAGTGAAGTGTCCGCTTTGCCCTCCCCCTCAAATGAGGAGATGCTGCCTTCTCTGGAGCTGTCAGGGGCCGGGGCGCCTGGGGAGGAGTTGCCTCCCTCACTGGTGGACGAACCCATCCTGGGACGGGACACGATGCGTGCTCTTTGAACCATGGTGCCCGTGGTTGCTCCTGGCGCTTCCACAAAAACTTCCGAGGGGTCCCTCTCTTCGACAGAATTATTGTTTGTCGGAAAGACGGTGGAACGAGCTTGAGAGCCGTCTTGGAGGACAAGCCCCACGGCCCTCGAAGGTCCGTTTTGAATATCCCTTCCTGGCACACCTGCGGGTTCAACATTTGCCTTTACTTTCACCTTTCCCTTCCCCTTGATTTTTACCTCGGTGATGTCGTTACCTTTGTCCTTTGGAGATTCCTCTGGCACGGGTGAGATGGCAGGGACTGGAGTGGCCATCTCACCGGGAGCTCCCCCCATGGCTTTCTTGCGTCTATCACGTAGAATCCTCTTTCGTTTGAGGTCTTCGTACGCCTCGATGTAAGCCTGGAGCTGCCAGTAAGTCAGTTTCTGAGTGACCTCGGGCTTGGTACAGACAAAGGCATGGAGGATCAGCATCTGGTCCTCTCCTGGATCCGGTTCGGCATTCATCCTGATGATGCAGGCAAAGATGTTCGGGTGATCGTTGCTCCCTACACCGTAGGTGATGTGATGCAGGGGCACACTCATGGTGAACCCGTCTTTTTTGGTCTTCAGGAAGGGTCCACTCACCTCCCAGCACCGCAGACCGTCCGGGTTAAAGTTCAGCATCAGACGGGACAGTTTCTGCTTCTCCCGCAGTTTGCAGAGTTGCTCCACGGGTTTCTCCACCGCGTCGCGCCCGTATTCCAGATTGGTGGGCATGCGACCCAGGTAGTGCACCAAGAAAGTCGGGTACTCATTCGAGGGGCCCGAGGGCGGGATAGTTATCCCAGACATGTCTTTGTGTTTCTTGCGTTCCCGGTCCTTGGCCGCATGGTGTCGGCTGGTGACATCCGAAGAGGAACCAGGGTGAGAGTCCGTGGTTGCCGCCCCCTCTGCATCTCCACTGGCCGATTCCTCGGACCGAGATTTGAAGCTGGACAGACCGTGAACACTGCTCCTCTTCTGCTGCTTCTTCTCCTCCTTCTTTTGGGCCTTGATTGTGTCCTCGGGGAATTCCACCGTCGACTTGCTCCGACTACCGATCCTCTTTAAGAACGACATGGCGATGGTATCTAATTTACTCCTTTTTTCCTCCTTTTTTACCACGATTGTGCCATCATCATAAACATAACGGGTGAAACTTGGTTCTCACACCCTTTTGACAATTTTGCTGACGACAGGTCCAACGTTCAGTGTTCATACAAGTTCCTGACAACAAAAACAGGCCCGTGACATGTGTGTAGGCGTTGGAATGTTAGCACTTTCGCTTGCAGAATCGCTCCAAAATCGCTGCGATCACAACCTGTCCTGCTAGGCGAAATAGAAAATGGCGGTCCTTACCTTTTCAGCACGTACCTCATGCATGACTTCCAATGCTAGCTTTCACGGTTCAATGCAGCCAACGAAACGGTGCTTGCACAATCCCCCAAAAGAGGTCCTCGTACTCAGTTCCGTCCACAATAGAAGCCAGAGAGAAAAATAAACCCCGTCACTTTCCCACAGACACGGCTAGCACAGTGACTGCGCACGGCCAATGAAATAATTATTCGTGTTATACATGCGCCTCATAATTTGACAGGCTGCATGCGTGTACATTTTAGATATAGGCTGCATATGCTTGACTTGTCAGCGCAAGCACGGCATTCCATAGCGTCATGGCCTTGATGAAAAATGAATTTCAACAATCTCACCGGCGACTGCGATTCGAAAACTGCGCGTTCAATTTCGCCCTGTCTCGGTTAGGAGATTATTACCTCACGCCGAGAGCATCCAGCTTATCCACACACAGACACCAATTAACTTTAATTCATTCCAATCCTGATATCCATATGGAGTGCGCCGCAAAAACCCATCCCGCGCTTTTTCTTCAGCAACTGACAGCAATCAATACATGGACCCCCAACACCAGTTTGTCCTTGGAAAACCCCATCAGCTTTTTCCTCTTCCCCCAATTAAAATCGATAAGGTTGGGGTCTTCTTACATCTTGCATCAAGTCTGTGTGTACTCCCATGGGCCCTGTGTACACCGAGACTTATACAGGCATACCAAATGAACAGGTTACGTTCTACAATGAATAGACTAAACCAACAGCAAGCACAAAAGAGAAGTTGGTCAGAGAAAAGCGCTCGCCCTTGGGAGGATGTGGTCTATTCATATGCAAAGAAGCCCATACCTAGCATGGGTATGGGACACCCACGATCTCCCTACGGCACGTCTGCACATAATGAAGGCCCTCCTTTTGGCGTCTGCGTTCATTTCTTCACGTACAAGCTGAGGGAATGAGATGGGATGCGGCGTCAGGGGACCACTTCTACGGAGCAGCGAAGCACGGAATTGTGCTATCAATCATGGACAAGACTTGTGTTTATCATTTTCACCTGCTTAAAATTAATGTCACGTGTTCTAGCTTTCGGGACATGAGGTTTTGAGATTTTTATTTTTGAGTGTGGTCCGAGGGGCATTCCCACCAATAAATTTGGAAACTTTGAGCATTCCCCTGATTATTTCTTGCCCCATTCACTTCACTAGTATCATTAGTCAGCGGCTGATCGGGGCATCCCCGGGCCCTCTAGATCCGCCACTGTGTATACCTTCTTCTTCTTCCAGTTGAGCGCTAACTTCACAATTCAAGTGAAGACTACAACACTTTTGGTGGGGTGTGATGAGAGAGACGGCTTAATTTTTAGTTAGAGCCCCTTTAAATGTATCGGCAGTTGGTGCCTGGATGACAGATTGCGGCACGTTTGTATATATTGCTACTTCACCTATTCTCCGCTGATTTTCGCTATCTTAGCACAGAAATTTGCCATTTATAAATTTTGGTGGTAATTTTGGTGTTAATGATATGCGATGTTTATTAGCGACTGGTTCTCTGACCGTTTTGCATATATGAAAGGAGCAAATAAATTCGCTGAGCAGTACTTCCGGCGGGCAATTTCATTTTCTGCAGCATACATCGCATTTCAACCAATCACATCACGCACCTTGACATGAATATTTATCACACTGTGTGGAAGACACTTATGTTGTCGGAGTCTTGTTTTCCCTTCAATTAAAATTATTCCAACGATAAATTTGGAGAACAAAAATAGTCGATGAATCAGAGATCTTGCGATCCTTAGTTCACCTCACTGTCCACTAGGCTGCTGTAGCAGGTCGACGAAAGCCGTTCTTTAAAATTCTTTAAGGATGCAGACCAATACACGGGCCAATTCACAATTTGAATACCCTCAATTTCTTTGCAATGAGAGCATTTTGTGGACCATTTAAAAAGGTTTGTAAAAACAGATGCCGTGCAGAGGAGTGCGAGCTCGTGTACTGTGAAATTCGGATCTAAAATTGCGCAGGCATACTTTTGAACCCACTGAATAATCGTGATTAATTGATAACGTCTGCTGCAGAAAAAAAAGCGCGCTTCCGGCTGAGCTGCTTCACGAAATGGACCAAAGTGCTAGACCTGCAGCGTAATGACGTCAAAGGTTAGTGTCAAGTCCACGACGTCACACTATGAGACCCGAATGGGGACCGGAAAGTTTGATCCTCTAATAATTGGTTTAGCTCTGGAAAAAAACCTAGACGCTAACGAGAATACTAGAACCTTGCTGGCCACACTATGAAATGGTTCAAAATCAAAGAATTTCGTTCAAGAACATTTTATTGATATTTTCATGCATGGTAAAAATTACAAATGAAATTCAAATACCGGTAGGCTTATGTAACAAGATGAAAATGTAGTTAAAAAATCTGATACCACCTGGAACATTACTGTTTTTAGAGCTTCAAGCAGTAATCATTTAAGCATAATACGAAATTCTTGCCATTAATATATGATTTGCCTATAAATACAAGTTATTACTTTTAAATCTGGATTACATGTATATAAAATATTTACATCATTCATTTTATTCTTATTTGGCACATCTGTTTGTGGGGAAAATCTGGCAGTTAACTTGTTAAAAAGGCGATTCAATATCGCAAGGAAGACAAAAACGATGCAGTAATGGACAGATCAATCCCACAAAAGGAGAAACCTGAGTTGGCTAGTAGAGAGAGTTGTAATTAAAGTAATCAACAGTCTTTGCAAGAATGAGTTTTAAATTTGTGGATGACACCACGTGTGGATATCAAGCTGCTGGGGATGGACAATCAATCACATCAAAAAGCTTGAAATAACACTCATACACTTCTTTAAGGGAACAGTTTTTCAGAGATGAGCTTGGTATTCACACGGTGCCATCTTAAACATCATTCTTGCATTCATTCCACCGCATATACAGTGGGACGCCGCTATACCGAACACCGCTATACCGAACATTTGGCTATACCGAACATCATCCTTGGCTCCCGGTTTTAATGCACAAAACGTACCGAATTGTTGTTGAAAAAAAGTCAACAGATTAACTAACAATCTAACGATTGTACATGTATTAAACACTAGTTGGGCCACTTTTAATTCCCTTACATCAAACTACCCATAGTTACATCGTGTTTGAGTGTTGAAGAGCGATAGATGGCTATTATTTCCGCCAGTTCACTACATGTATTGGTCAAAAGAGGGTACCGGCGGTTCAAAATCGCTATACCGAACGATCGTTATTACGAACACTTTCTGTGGATCCAACAATGTTCCTTATAGGGAAGTTCCACTGTACATGTATAAAGTTCAAGCCATACTCAGTCTCAAGCTCTTACAAGTCAGTCACGAGCGATCTAGTCTCAAGTCAGCCGTCAAGGTATTTGTATGTTTAACTGTGACAGGGGCACTCCTTTGTCTTTTTATCATTCCTTGTATTGTGTCCTCTTGACTTGAGATATACTCTGCCAATGGAACCCCTTATGGAGTAAACGTCTTTTAGGGCCAACAAAATTTAAAAATCAGAAAACAGCCACCACACTTTTGGAATGTCTCAGTCACTAAAAAACCCGGTGGAACGCATGTTTTCATTTCACGGATGACATGCAATCATTGGGGTTGTGTCACAGGCAATTAACAGCCAGCATGTTGCTGGCAATCTCCAAGAGGAAATTCCCAATGCTAGGCAAATTCTAGCGACCTCTTCTCAGGAATTTCCAAAACTGTTGGAAATATTTACTTTATTCATCCCAAGATTTCTTTAAATTTCAATATATTTTTGTTGCATCATAGTTGCATGTGAAATTTCTGCCTTGTCCAACTTGGCCCTTCTACATACTTGTTATGGTGTCATGATGTGTAATACTTGTGGTATGATTCACTGTGCTGCATGCACTATACTGATGGACATTGATAAGTGTTTAATTAAAATCTGGGATCAACTAATCACAGGGGAACGATTAGGATTCCAATTGAACACACTCCAAAATGTATGACATTAGGCTTGAAAATTGACTTCAAGGAAACGGCCAAAACTGAATGGAAGAATTGTACTTGCAGGTTAACAGCAATTTCTCCTCTTAAGAACATGAAGAATGCTCTTCATCACACCAACTTATCTGTTATCTCTCCATCACTTGACTGCCTTAGAATCCTACCAAGAAAGAGAGAGAGAGAGAGAAAAAAGACTTTTTGACAGATATAACAAAAGTTGTGTTTAAAGTTGAAGTTGTTCAGGAAGCACTTTTAAAAGAGTTGCAAAGGACAGTTTGACAAGTAAAGCTTAAAGGGAATATACATCATTTGCTTTTGCTGTAATTTTCAGAAATGGATGGAATTGGGGGGTTAGAAATATATAGCAAATATAGTTACACTGACTTTTTGGAGGTTTTGGGTTCGAAAATGCTATAAAAACCAAGAAAAACGATCATTTTCCTGTAGTCTGGTTCCCTGACTCTATATAAGAAGAAACGGAGCAGTTTACATACATTGGGGAATTGTAAGGTCAGGGAACCAGTCTAGCTGGCTCGTACCCGTTCATAGGTTTGTAATCGATTGCAAACAAGTGCAATGGTCAATTGGGTCCAGTATTTGAAAAAAAAGCCAGTTGTTTCCAACGCTGATCGGCCGATCAGCGTTGGAAATTGATACAAAAATACCACTTTTCTTGAAAATGACAGTATACCAGGTGCCATAATTTTACAGGATGCTTTAGACTGTCATTTACCAACATCCTATTAAGGTATTTCGCAAAAACTTGGTACTTTTATTTTTCGATGTTTGCAAATGTTGTATATTCCCTTTAAAAGGTTATAACTGCCAAGAAACCACCAATATATCAGGCTCAGCTGAGTGAGCGAATATCCATCAAAACTCTGACATGCGTGCACATAAACGTGACGCACAAATTGGAGCATGCAGTGTGGCATTGGAAAGGGGTATATAGTGTACATGTAGCTTCTCATGTGCGCACAGGAGAGGTGGGGGCTTATGGGCATATAGGATCATCTGCTTGCTTGTTCAAAACCTAACCTGTTGAACTTTCAGTTCAGAGGATATTTTATTACACTTTTCAAGAAAACTGTGAAACAGCATGCACCACTAACACAATTTTGTTGACAGCACTCTTTATTCCAAAATCATTCAATTGACTGATCGTTAGAAATCACCTACATTTCTTGATTTTTTCTAACTGACAGCAAGCCAGATCTGGATAATTTATACTTTTGGGATAAATGCAAATGGTGAAATGCATTTAATGGATGGGTCTATTTCAACCACTGGTTTCAATGCTTCACCTAGCGATAAATATAACATTTCTAACCGGAATATCAGTTAAATAGGGAGGTTTCGCAAGCGAACGGATAGGCTTACACTTACGTTTAGCTATCCGTATTCGTTTTTTACTTATGTGTAGCGAGCGAGATATGCGTGTCGTCTGCACGTTTAGCGGACAGTGAGTGGCGTATGATGTCATAACTGATGACGTATCCGTCGCACTAAACGTATCCGTTTGCATGCGAAAACTCTCTAATATGGGCTTTTTGCTTCACATATCCTTGGCCCTATCTCCACGACGCAAATTACATCATGCAAAATAGTGATGAAAATCAAGCACTACATAAGCACACAATGGTACCTACAATGTCCTGCTACAAGAAGCTTCAATCACTGTCTGAATCGTC